CTTCTTATTCCCTGGGTTCGATTTCTTCTCGTGAAGTAAGGTCTACTTTTTCTGACCCTAGTTTCGTTGCCGTCGGTTCCGGGGACTCAACTTCTGTCTTTTCTGGCGTAAGTTTTTATGCTGCTTTTTCCTTTTCATCTCGTGGTTCATTTTCTTCGTGATCGCGCTGTTTGTACTGAGTCGGTTTTCTCGCTTGGTTGTTTTGCGCCTTTTTCGCTAATGTTTGTTCTTTTGTCCTAATGTGCATGTTGGTTTGTTACTCAATGCTCGTCCCAGGTTTCGCTACGACCAATTTTGTTTGGTTTTTTACGATTGTTGCTGTTCACGGTGTACTCATATGTTCTTGTTTCATCCAATTATTTTGTTTTCAAATTCGAATAAGTTAACTATGGATGGTTTCGGTGCATTTCTCTCCTTATTGAGTCAACGCGGGATACTAGTCGTTTTCGTGTTTCCTTTTCGTATGTATAAAACTCTTTTCTCGGTTCGCCAGTGCTCGTGTTCTCTGCAAAACGTCACGTCTCTGCGTTTGATCCACTTTAATCATATAAATGCAATAGTTAAAAATGGTCGGGTCGGAAGCTTATGCGTTATTTTTCCATTCATTATTCTTGCATTTCGTACTGGAAGTGACTAACGCTATTGTCCTCAACCGGTAGCAGTTCCTAATATGAGCTTCATTTCTCTTTTCCCTAGGTCAGTTAGTGTTTTGTTGCTTGCGTGTTGCACAAATTTTTACCGTGGATTCACGGCGGTTCCTGTTCCTCGAGGCAATTATTTCTTTAAAATGTTTCTTCCATTCCTTTTCCGGTGTTTTCGTCCAATACCATTTTGTATATTGTGGTTTCCTTTAAAACGATTTCAAGAGGTTGAATATTCCAGGGTTCCTTGTTTGGTTCAACCAAATGCGTATCAAACAATTTTGGGACAAACTTACGGTGTGAACCGTCGTCAACCCAGTCACATCTGATTTTTCCCTTTGCCTTTTTTATCATGTTCAAAATTATGATGATGCAATATGATATTCAGTCACGTTGCTTTTTGCAGATTTTTGTTTTGTGAGCGCTGCTGTCCACTTATCTTTGATGAAAGTCTTTCCAAAAGAGAGTGTCTCGGTATGGTGCACTTTGCTTTTTCATTTTCTGGAATCTCATCATTCAGTCTGGTCTTGATGTGAAATTCCGTTCTCTGGCCCCATGTGGTTGTGAACGTTTCGCTCAACTGTCTGTATTCCAATCGGGAAGTTGGGGCTTATGTTCATGAAAAGGGATTTTTTGAATTCTTACAATTAATGGTTGCAGTTGTAATAATCTACTTTTTTATTGAACACTCTTTTTCACAATTCCTTTTTAAGAAGGGAGCTGTGGACCGCGGGATCTAGTAGGAGTAGGCAATTGCGGTGGTCAATAAACATATGATCTCAAGACCTATGAGATAATTTTGGTTATATTTTTTAGACTGGTATGGATAGATCTCGTGTATCCAACAAATTCATGATACACGAATGTTTAAAAAACATCTGTTTCTTGTGTGCGTACGATACTGCGAAGTTGTCTAAATCAAATGAGTTGATTCTCTGAAGGATCCCTATCAGAGGTATCACTAAGTCAAAGCCTGTCGCTCAAACCATTGGGACGGCGTGATGACCGCACTTCATTGACAATTTTTCTAATTATTCGGGTTCACGTCCGCATCTCTAGGGTACATTACATGTACGTCTATCACCCAATCGAGTCGGTGACAGTTGTTACCTAAATGGTCTTGGGCCGATTTTGCACGCTTTTCCTTGGGAGGTCTGTACTCGAGGTTTACTACTTCCCCTAGATAAATCAGCTTGTCGAGGCTCACCAGCATGGTTCTAGCCCCATATATTAGGTTTTCAGCGTCTCACTTCAATCAAAGCAACTTTGCTATAGAAATACAGCAAAGAGTACTTGCACAACAGAAAAAACAGCTCATCAACTATAGAAGACATATGTGCGCAGAATTGGTATTGGCCATCAATTTCGCGTGCTCTCATTCAGCTGTAAACGCACATTTATATGTGCAAGTTCGGACTGAAGGATACATTACGTTAATCTACCGTAGATTACCGTAATTGTTTTCTCGCCTCTTATGATATTACTTCATTGTTCACAAATGTCCCGGTCGAGGAAGCTGTGAACGAAGCATGTAAACATGGCAGTGAAATAGGTTTCCTCGCCAGTGATTTGAAAACCCTACTGGATTTATGCTTCCGCGATGTACAGTTTGTTTTCAATGGAAATATCTATAAACAGGTTGATGGTGTAGTTATGGGTAGCCCTTTGGGGCCAATTTTTGCTGATATCTTCCTGTCAACACTAGAAAACAAACTGGAAGGTGATTTGAATTCGACCCTACTATATCGGCGGTATGTTGATGATACACTAGTTATCGCGCGCAACAAAACAGATATCATGGCATTATTTCACAAATTGAACTCGTTGCATTCCAACATCAAACTGACATTAGAATGTGAAGCGGATTCGAAACTTCAATTCCTTGACTTACTACTCAATCGAATGTCAGACGGCAAGCCGCATATATTTATGTATCGAAAGCCTACATGGACAGGACAGTATTTACACTTCAGGAGTTTCTGCCCTGTGGGATACAAGCGTGGTCTGGTATGCACTCTGTTTTACAGGGTTCGCCGATTATGCAGTCCTCACCTCTTGACAGATGAACTGGACCGACTGACCCATACTTTGATAGACAGTGGTTATCCCATCGCATTCATTCACAAGTACAACAAGCCGATCAACGCCAAGCCTATTTCCTTATCGGCTAAGAAGAAAGATGTCTATATGGAACTGCCTTTCAAGGGAGATGACGTGATAACAAGGATATCTCGACGTTTAACCCACGCCGTCGAAAGGACGTACAATGCCGCACGACTAATGATTGTCTACGGGACGTTTCGCTTTCTCACACGCACTAATCTGGATCGTAAAGACATTATTGTTACCTTCAACTACATCTATTCATTTCAATGTACTTGCGGTCAGCGGTATATCGGAAGGACAGAACGTCACTTATCAGCCAGGATGTGTGAACATATTCCGAAACACCTTGGTCTTCGCGGTGGAAAATTACCATTTAGTGCAATTGCCCGTCCATTGTTAGATTCCGGTCACCACGTGGACGCACCCAAAGCGTTTCGAGTCATTGAGNCCTCGAAGTTCACGGACTTTGCGATTCTTAGAAGTGATAATTATTCATCGCTTGAAACCGCATTTGTGTTTAAAAAAACATTTGTGACGCAACTGTTTTTGCCATGGTAGTGATGATATCACACTTGATGCCACCCTACCATAGCATGACGTGACATGACCTTCCCTCGCTCTCCCTAGTTCACCACATTCACTGTATCGTTTGGTCCGGTTCACCCCATATCAAAGTTTCTCATCTTACCTGACCTCAACCCCTAACCAAACACGAATCACTCGACTCTTATGTCCAACACTGTTCAAATGACTCATTTCAACTCTTATGCTTCTTCGTTTCACATGATCATATACATGTGCGTTCACAGCTGAAATTGATGGCCAATATCAATTCTGCCCACAAATATCTTCTGTTGTTGATGAAATAGATAAAGGGAAAGGATGTTTTACAGAAAAAACAGCATTTTAGTGGGTAAGCTACATACAGTTTATTTTAGTTAAATTTAGAGCCCCTCGAGAACCGATAACGCTTGAGCACTGCATCGAATGTTAAGTCGATACGCAAACGGTAATTCAACTATCGATAACTTTCACATCCTCCAGGTCTTCGACCTGTCGAGCTTCAGTACGCAAAATTGATCTGCGCAAAGTATTTTTGTGATAATTAAGGGCGACTATACGGTTGTCAATCGGCGGGAAATTACTTCCTCTGATATGTTAAAATTATGGAGAAAAGCGTGAACTTGCCGAATGTTGTACTCCTCAGTCCTGCCAACAATACGGTCCAGCTTAGCAAATTGCGGTATTCCCAGTTCGAAAATTGTAGCACTACCTGGTGAAGTTGGTCTTCGAGTTTCCGCCGGCAATGGTGTGTACATTTCTGAATGCTGGTGATGTACCATCGGGTATCTTTTCTGACGAATCACTAATTCACTCTGATTGCTCCTCCATCAGAACGCATGTTCTTTTCACTTCTGTTTGCATGTTTCGCATTTGCATTCCTATTCCTCATGCTATTGAGTAACTCGTGGTTGTAATTTTGCGACACAATTTCACACCAAACAATAACCTTTCTCTTGTCTTTTTCACTCCCACGCACATATGCCATCCAGTTGGACTCCCATGCACTGATTGCGCAACTGGGAATCGCACTAGACAAAGAGAGTGATTGGATTGTCGCTTGCGAGGATGACCTACTGCATATGGGCAAAGTCAGCTTGGATGATGCTGCCAATCGACAGCTCGTGGACGATCACCAAGTATGTATCGGATTATGAGTCAGAAATTGTTTTCAGACGGATGATACTGTTTACTTTGTCTGTCTTCTTTAAACCGTGAGTGAACATACCCCACACCCATCGGAGGGCTTTTGAGGAACTACAAATCCGGATATTATAAATTGTTAGGAGGGAAAAACTTTAGTGCTAAGGCAACCAAGAACTGATACCTTCCTAACGTTTAAAAATGCGCGGTGAAACCGATCGTTTGGGCGTAAATTTCTTGTTCATTGAGGACGGTTGTCAGTAAGACAACGCAAATCTCATTTGCAGCTCAGGTAGTGGATTTGAAAAAAACTAGCCTCGAAAAATCGTTGCGATGATTCCGTGTTAGGTGTTGTGTGGTTAGGTGCATCTAACCTCAACCGGCTTGACGCCAGGGCCGATTTTCCGTGTTTTTACATTGCGCAGTATATGAATAACTGTGCAACATTTCGTAGAGCCACACGACCGGTTTCGTGGTCAAGTATGTGTATTCTTTAATGCTTTGCCTAGTCTTTCTTACATTTTTTACTCCCGATGTGAATTAGACAACGCGAGTTTTATTTACAGCTTGAGGAGTTGACTGGAGGCAAAGGAGCTCCAGTTGACCTCGGGAGTACAAGTATAAGAATAAATGGACGAGGCTTACGGGATACGCATGTCTGATGACCGTCAAGAATCGTGAAACCGGTCGTATGCTTTTGGGAAATTTTGTCCATTTAGTCATTGCTCATTATAAAAACTGTTATCAGGGTTAGTGGGGGATATCGATGTTAAGGTGCATTGTCTAATTAGTACCATGAACGTCATAACTCATGTCTTACTGAGTGAATTTCTGATTACTCATGATCCCCATCTGTTTCGGTTGTACAACATTAACGATGAGCTTTTGTGCGGTGGTTTTAATTACCGTCTTTAGGCTGGCCAATTGATGTAGGTGTTGCCCGCCTAGTTCATAAATTGAACCGAAGAATTTCGACCTGTGATTTTTCAAAACGGATTGAACCGGGTCCCCATCAGAACGGTGGGGAAATTCTAGCCTTTAAATCATTGGAAATTTATGGAAGAATTTACCCTACTCACTATTGTTCTGCACCTTTTCCCATCAAGCTTTATCCAAAACCCGAAATCCTGTAGCCAAGACCCACAATGCTTTAGCCTTGACCTACATTCCTTTAGCCAAAACCCGCAATGCTTCAGCCAAGACCGGTAGTCCTTTAGCCTCGACGCATAAACTTAAGTCACGCCGTAGTAGACAAGTCAGATCAAAAATATTCTGAGGTCAGCGAATGTTGAAAAAAAATTATTGTCTATAAATGTTGTAGCATATCTTGGTTAAGAAATAAGAAAGTGTGGGGTTTGCATGCTGCAACACATGTTGATTGGAGAACGTGTAACCGATGTGCCCGTATCGTCAAACCATTTGACACACTCTTAGGAATAAAAATCTGAAAATCTCGAAGTGAAACCAGCTACTGGAATCACCTCAGAGAGTCCAACAAAATTAATGTTCCAGCACCCTAGTTATCAAAGTCCGAAACAATCGTAAAACACGCGTATCGGAGCAACATATGTGACAGATATTTGATTGGCTGTCCTTTTGACTTGATGTTCACATGTAGCCCTCTAATCAGACGCCTTCGGTAGGCATTAGACTCGGTTTTCTCTGTTATGAGACATCGTTACCAGTGCATGTCCACCGTTTCGTCCGGGATTTGAATGACCAATCCCTCGCCACCAAGGCTAACCAGAAATACCGATTCAAGTTCATTCGGAAATGGTGAGTTCATTCTGCTCGACAACAACGAAAGCTGACTCAGTATACTCTCTGTTTACACCCGTCGAATATCTTTCACGAAGTAATCAACAATTAGTTAACCCGATCACATATTCGATACCACCATTCACAGCTAATTGTAAGTTAAAATGTAAAAGAATTAGTCATTTGACTGAATAATGCTTGAAAGACCCATGGGTAAATCTAAGACTTGTTAGTTATGTGGTAAAAGAATTATTCATGTGAGGCCTCCTAAATAAATCAATATATGAACTCATTTATCGTCATTTTCTGTATTAGATCCTTACATTCGAATTTTTGTCGTTTCTGTTTTCCGATAGTTTCATTCTCATTGGGATTGCGATCCATTTTTTTCACACAAATCTTCGGTGTATACCAATCCCTCAAACAATCTGTCTGTTTCTATTTGTCCTTTTTTCTTACCGCGGATTCTCACGGTTTCTTATTATGTTCTTTGTGTTCCCATTCACAGGACCTGTTGGATCGATCTCGACAACATCAACCGGAGGTACGGGCGGNNNNACGGGCGGTTCTATTTCAAGCGGAACAATTTCTTCAGTCGCACCAGAACAACGTTCCGAGCACAGTTTCTGAACCGTTGCGAGCACGTGCAGTGGAAGTTCGCGAACGATTGGATCGGGTGAGTGTATTTTTCTGTCTTTCTTATCGCTCTACCTCTCTAAGCTTCTTTAAATTGAGACCCTAAGTTATCCAACAAGAGTTTATTGTTCTTAGAGTATCAGGTGTTCTGAACTGTGGTACATGGTTTGAGAAAGGTTAACCACGACAAACGAAACCTCAACTGACTACCACTTTCTCCCTCAATGCTATAACACCGAAAACCAAACACTTACTCATAACATTTCAAGTTTTCTATGCACCTCGAACCAAACTCGGTCTCGATTCACTAAACTGGAATAACCTTATATTAGCCTACTGAAGGTTCACCTAGGTCTGCGACAACTGTTTTCCTAATGTTTCATCTACTATCCTCCCTCTGCCCTTCTTCATCCCAAAACACCAGGTCCAACGTGAAACCGAATTTCGAGTTCGTACTCTGATCACAAGCCTGGATGAGTTGGAACATCTGACTGACAAACTTCAGACTGTTCGTAAACTGTTGGAACGTTGCGATCAAGGTGCTATCAAATCCCTCACGGATACTTCTCGTTCCAGTCTGGTTTTGAATACGTACGACGACTTGAAAGGCTTGTTGCCCAGATTGCATACCATCTTAGCTCAAGCTCAAGCTGCGCAAACCGAGGTGAACAATTTGCCGCATTTGGCGCGTAATTTTTTGAGCTCAGTTAATCGATACACGACAAGCAAGGTGAGTCTCAGGTCGCAATTTCATGGCCCCCCGAGTGCTTGAATTCCCATTTGCGTTGCTCTCACAATTTTTGCATTTCATACAGTTGGTGTTTTTTTCGTTTTCCGAACTCAGAAGGTATTCGCAGTCTTACAAGTGATTACGCTCAAACGTATCGTTCTTCTTTGGAATCATCTGAAAATAGGGGTGAACTATTCGATTTACCGGGTACACGGATGATCATAGACTTGGAAAATATCAGTTAATTTAGAAGATTCCCAATTGAAATGCACTGAAGAGGATAGAGAATTCGAAGGATAGGAAACCAGCAAGTCTAGTTGATCACTCCAGCCAGAAAATGTCTTGAAGATCGGTGAACTGAGCTGACGGAAAGTGATTAGTGCTCCATAGAACCGAGTGAAGATGAGGATAAGAGGCTGGACAACTGAACAATGTTAACCACAAAATTAAACTCCAAAGTCTTAACCTGTGGGAACGATCAGGAATAAGTATGCATAAACCAGCAAGTTTAAACATTGTTAATCGCTTGCTTCCTCTCCCCCACCTTGGAAGTTTGTATCAGTGAAGTGTACTGGACCGTATTGGCTGTAAAGTCGAAGTTCTCTAGCATAACGGTTTGACTGTCACATGTTTTCAATACTGATTCGCAGGAACTCGCAACTAGAAGAATGAGAGCTGTCGGGGAGCAATGAATGTAGATCTGATAAATAAAAATCCGATATTTCAGCAGTGTGGTATTCTGACGGTTTTTTATGTTTGCCCCCTTTTGCCAGTATTTTTCGCAATAGATCTGTCATAAACAAGTGTTCGAATATTGATTGGAAAGTTTTCGTGTTCATAAGTGCCTTGCCTGTTGACAATCATTTTCTATTGCGCGTCTTTCATACTGTCTGGTTTAACTTTTTTGTATTTCTTCTTTTGGACAAACGGACCAGCTAAAAACCTTCTCAATCTCCCCCCTCCGAATAGAGGACCGAAGTATTTTTTTCAATTACTAAACCGATCTCAGTAGATACCAAAGATAGCGTTTCATGTTTAGACATTAACAGTCCAGTGACGATCAACAAGATATCTGAAACGCTTGTTTCTGTAATTCTTAGCTTTGTTCGTCTTCTTCAGAATACATTCCGCTCATCATTGGGTCGACCGAGTGGTGATTCGGGTGCGTCCACTGAGGACAATCGTGAACTGGAACAAACAGTGCTCGATGCTGTTCGTGAAGCGGATGAACGTTTGCGGACACTCACAACGGGTGTGCACAATCGAATCCAAAATATCACCGAAACCACTGGGCAGTATCAGAGTTTTGTAGACGAACTGGAACGTCTGCGGTCCGGTTTAGACCAAATTGAAGCCGATTATCAGAGAGACTTAACTGATTCGGATCTTTTTGAAAAGTCACAAGTTCGCTTAACAACGGCCCAACGCAAACGGTTGCAGTCACATACGGACACCATGTTCACCTTGGCCGGTGAATTGAGTACTATCGGTTGTGCATTACAAGTGAGCTCGTGCATCTGGTCGTGTGACAATGTTGCGTGTGTAGATTACCGCTGATCATATTACCTGTATTAGTAATTTGTTTCGGTGAATGAACAAAAAGTCAGTTATTCAAAGTTGGTTGTCCAAAGGCATTCAGGCCGTTCAGCAGCTGATATTTCTCGACTATGTGACCTCCGAAGATACGAATGTTATATAAAAAGTAGAAGTTGCGAATGATGCATATCCAGCAGCTTCGTTTGAAGTTTAACTCATATGAATTTTTTTGAGTTTCAGTGGAGGTCAGTGAAATCAGTTCGATTGACAGAGCGTTTTCTTCAAGCCATTCCCCTTTTTCACTTCTTCCGCCACACTGCATTTCTTTCGACATGCCTCCAGAATGTGCAGCGCCATTTGGTGGACCCCCTTTGTGAGCATTTGACCAATGCTGGATTGAAACCAGCCGTGGTCGATGAGATGGTCCGCCAACCACTGAGTGCGGAATTGGAACGGCATGCTCGTTTGCACGACCTCGTTCACCAACGTAGCACAGACTTGGCTCAACTGCTCGCAGACAAACAGGCAGTGACCGACACCCTTATCGCTACCATGGAATGGGCAAACCAGACTGAACGGCAACTATCTAGTTTGGATTTGACTTTGACCGACGATGTGGACCATCGTCTAAGCCAGACTCATCGTTTTCAGGCCGAATTGGAGGCGCAACAGGCAGCGTTGGAAGTGGCTCGAGAACGAGTTGATGCGATCATAAACGAAGCAACTTCCGAACAAAGAGCACTCAGCGATTCGGACGTGGCGACAGCACAAGCCTGCGCAGAACAAATTGATCAATTGGAGAGCCGGTAAGGACTAGTTGTGTGAATCTGGTGTCACGTAATTTTGTACTTCGTTATATCTGACTGTTGATGTGCATACCGTTGTTGTTTTCATTTGTTCTTCTAGGTTGACTGCAATGCGGGAGCGCGTGCACACTAGCTTGGACAATCTGACTGGCTCCATGGAGGTGTTAGATCAAGGCAGACGTCAAGCAGATGAGTTAAGCACGTGGATTACACAAACTCTGGAGGCCTTAGATCCAGCTCAATTCGCCCGTTTACGTGAGAGTCAACTTTGCAATAAGTTACAAGATATTCGGGTGCGTTTATCTTTTGTCTCAACGAAGGTCATTTTTCTTAGATAGCATTTTGCTTATGCACACCATCTCTAAATCAATTTCTCCTTTCACCCAATATCTTGTATACCAAATGCAATCCCCAGAAATTTGTTAATGGAGAAAGGTATGGTACTGAACTACTTAGATCAGATACTTTTATTTCATCAGTGTAGCGTATTGGTTGAGTTACTTGTCATAGAATCCGGGCAGCAACTGCTATAAATCTTTTAAATTGAGTTACGTGTTGTCTGTATTGTAAGATGAGAATACTTTGCATACAGCTTTGTTTTAGATGGTCCATACAGGCAGTGTGTTCTTTTAGCCTGAAGTTGGCCAATAGCTAACTACCGATGGCGAACACAGAACCAGTGCTTTTCAACAAGAATCTGCTTTTTTGTGGGCCACACTTGGAGACTTGTGCGCCTATCTATGTGCTTACATTTCAGTTAAAAACGTGTTCATTGTAACACCAGAACGGAAGTCAATAAATTATTATGAACAATAGTGATAAGGCCTGAGGATGTTGGTGGCGCAGTAGTTTAGTCGTTGTCATCGACATGCTTGGAACCCTATGTTCTGAGGTTCGAGCCCCAATGCCGCCACATCACTTGGGTGGTTGGCAACCTTTCTGTCATTCAATACCACGCCTTATGTGGTTCGCCGCTCCAAGTCCCTGGTCTTAGGTTACTGGTTTCCATGACTAAACAGCAGATCTTTGTGACTGTGGGGTTAGCCCCGTCTGTTACTTGTCCGACAAATCTGTGTAATGAGAAGAAGGTAATCATGTATGTTTATTTACAATGAGTTCGCATAAGACCTTGTAATCATTCAGAATGCAATTCAAATATGTTACCGTTGAATTGCGAGATGCTAAATCGAAAAATTTGGATCGTCTTTTGGCACGACAAATCAGGATTGAGTGGATGGCTGTATTCGCTAATATCCTCATAGGTAAATATCTCATAAGAGGGTACATGGAGAGCACAGTTTTGTGATTAGAATCTATCGAAATAAAGGCAACACGACTAATAGCTGGTAGGTCACGACGAACAGTAATGCGTTCCCGATCACCACTCATGTTGGATATGATCTGCTTACTAGAAGCTTACTCCTATCGTAAGTTTTAACAGTTATTAGCGAATATCTATGACGGTCACCAGGTCTGATGAATCCACTCGCCTTTTGGTATCAGTGCTAGTTGAGATCTTCACTCAAGCAAGCTGAAGTTTGAATGAGGACTCGGAACTTGATTTGGATTGGATGACTATTTCAAAAAAACCAAACGAGCCACCAATTCGTCGACAAAATGCATTTAATTACCCTGAACGATTTGATGAAATATTGCTATGGAATTATTATATGCAAGGTGTTCATCAAATCATAAAGAGAGGATATTTTATCATACCATAATGAGTTGCTTTTAGTCGCTTTTCATACCACACGAGTTCATTTTTATGACTGGTAAATATTCTAACCTTGTTCTTTCATGTTTCCCTATCCAATATCTCTCCAGAGTCAGGTTGAATCGCGAAAGAAACACTTGGCGGAACTGCAACAACTCCTATCACGCCTTTCCACTTCAAGTCCAGTTCCAATGAGGCAAGAGTTGCAGTCTTTGGTCGATGGAATGGAGAGGCGAATAGGTGAATTGGAAAGGAAATTGCACACCAGTGAACAAGATTTAGAGAAGCGTAAATCTCAACACCAGCCTTACACGGAAGCGCTAGAACGTGTCAACAACTGGCTTATTGACTTCGAGGGTCGTACGAACGGTCTTCCTGCGGTTGCCGTTTCCACAAAAGTAGTGCAACAACAGGTAACTGAGTTGGAACCATTCTTGGACGAATGGCGTGCACACGAATCAGATATTTTGGAGGTGGAGAGATTGGGCGCCGCGTATGACCGTTTACGAGGTGCATCGGGCACAGATGGAGGTTAGTGTATCGTGTGTCCATGTGTTCTAAACGCGCTTCATCTGATTCCCTTTTGTGTTTTGCCATTATCATCCTATGAAAATCCATCATTATGCTCAATAATTGTTTTGTAGATTCAGAATGAGGTTCATTTTAGTTACATTGCAATTTTTTGTGAAACAGTCGAATTGAACATCGGCATTCGTGACCCTAATGAAATATCATAGGTGAA